TGACAAATAGTCAAATCAAAGGCCTCTGACAAAGTCAAAGGACGCAAAAGACGGACCCCAACCTTGATGTCTTCACATAGTTCCAAAATGAAACAACTAATCAAATAGGGATCAGCTAAATCATTTATCTAATTTGCTAAAATTTCAAACTTTGTTTGGTAGTGTCACACTAAACTAGTCCACTGAAGCTTAGACAAAGAAGTTGCGGGGTCCATATCTTCTCGCAAACCAAAACGTAACATAGAACATTAGTGAATTGTGTCCAATACATGACACCAATTGAATGAACCGTCCAGCAATACCACGACATAGCCACTCCAGTTAGGTGAATGGAAGCAAATGACACCAATTGTGCATCGGTGAGTCCATGGAGGTGTTGATATTGCTCAACTCAAAAAATNCTCACAGTAAACTAGTCCACTGAAGCTTAGACAAAGAAGTTGCGGGGTCCATATCTTCGCGCAAACCAAAACGTAACATAGAACATTAGTGAATTGTGTCCAATACATGACACCAATTGAATGAACCGTCCAGCGATACCACGACATAGCCACTCCAGTTAGGTGAATGGAAGCAAATGGCACCAATTGTGCATCGGTGAGTCCATGGAGGTGTTGATATTGCTCAACTCAAAAAATCCAGCCCTCTGGATCTTCACCGTCAAATATTGGGAAATTAATACGAATCGGCCGCCCTTGTAAAACAAGCCTATCTTGCAAATTCACTAGTTACTGGTCCGCCATTTGTGGTGCAACAGCAAGAGGGGCCTATCGGTCTGCACGGGAGGCCATCGCCAATTGGTCTAAGGATGCCTGAAACACGTGAATGGCTTCTCTGATTTCCTGAACTCCACTCGCAAGTTGATCCATTCATGATTCCAGTNCAGGATCTTCACCGTCAAATATTGGGAAATTATTAATACGAGTCGGCCGCCCTTGTAAAACAAGCCTATCTTGCAAATTCACTAGTTACTGGTCCGCCATTTGTGGTGCAGCAGCAAGAGGGGCCTGTCGGTCTGCACGGGAGGCCATCGCCAGTTGGTCTAAGGATGCCTGAAACACGTGAATGGCTTCTCTGATTTCCTGAACTCCACTCGCAAGTTGATCCATTCATGATTCCAGTTGCTCAACACGTTCAATCAATTCTTTCACAGTAATCATGATGATACCAGAAAAAGATTTGCTCTGATACTAGATGATAGGATCCAAGGATCCTGTGAGAAATTGATTCACTTCAAAAGGAATCGTCCTCCAACTTTTATTAAAATTCTTTCAGCCAAAAAATAATGTTCAAGAAGATATAAATAGAATAGACCTCCTAACTAAACTTCTACTACTAACTAAACTCCTTGCCAATTACAACTTTTGACTCAATAAACTCCTAATCTGATCCAATTATTCATAATTTCTATCCACACAACTAATTTAGGATAGAAATCCCAAAACTAAATAAAGAATAAAAATCTAAAAAATAATCATATACATAGAAGTGCAGGTGGCAGCTCATACGTATGAGGTGCCTAGCAAGAGCACTGAATGAACCAACAAAATTTCATCAAATTCGACTACAAGGCCACAGGCCCTCAGTTTCCAAGAGAAGAAGAGTGAGATACTATGAGCAAAGGCAAGCCGAAGTTTCGAATATTCAAGTGCCCTATACCATGCTTGAATATGTTCTAAATGTCTTCTCCCAATGGGTTGTGTGTGCGTGTATTGTGGGAAGTGAAGCAAAAGACACCCATGTTTATGTAAAAGAAACACATATATAAGCAGAACCTAAATCATTCAACTCAGTAACACATGGGAAGATTTCAGAACTGCACATAAATTATCATAAGACAAAACACAGTAGCAATTCGTAACTGCACAACATCAAGTTATCATATAGGTTTCTAACAGCATCAAACCACTACAATTACAATAAATGGCAGTCCCTCGATGCACTTGACATCCAAAAAGGAGCAAAATTCCAACAGCAAGCTCAAAAGGCTCATATTGTGCTACTTAGCTTCAAAAGTATCTTCAAATGAATCGCTTTAACTGCAAAAAAAAGTAGTGAACTAGAGTTAATATCCACATTGTCTGATTTTACAGTAAGTCAATGGTATGCAGTGAGAATTTTTATATGTAAAATTCCATACTATTAAAAAGGCAACATTTCATAAGTTTGAACCTTGAAAATAGCTAATCAAAGCAAAAAGTTTGCACACTGTTCCTTCAGGGTATGAATGCCTTATTAAAACTACATAAAAAATTTCAGAAAAAAATCTCCCAAGTCTTTTTCCCTTCACTGGAAAGACTGGCAACCCCATCACTATCATCAATCAGAAACTTCAAATCCTCTTTTTGCTTCGTCCAACATTGTACGATTGTTCTCTCAAGTGCTCATTACTTTATGTTTAATTAAGAGTATGACATGTAAATAGTCAAAAACTTAAAATCAGTGTCATCATAGAAGAAAGTAGGAGAAAGCCTACAGGAGAACTATGTAATCATGCAACAAAAAAGATCTCTCTATTAGAAGCCCGTACACATTCAACATAAATGAGAAAAGAAGAAAAAGGCATTCTTGTCTCAAAGACCCCTCCAAATCAACATACCATATTGGGAGGCTCATAGTTTGCACGCTTGCCCATGAGATATGGCAAATGAGAAACCTAGAGGAACATCCTTTTAGACTCGTTCCACTAGATCCTCCCAAAGAAAGGCAATCCTCGGATCAAACTGATGGAGAGGCCATCCAAATTTGTTGCAAGAGAGAATAAGAGAGAAACACCATAACTGAATTCATCATTATAGTAGGTGCAATTGTCCAAAAGTTTTCTACTAGTCAATCTCATATGTTTGGGTGAAACCCTTAGCAACTAATCTGACTTCTTACCTCTTCATCGCACAGTCTGCCTCATGCTTAGAATTGGAAAGGTTAAATTAATAACATCAAAAAAGACGGAAAACCATATTAAGTATAACCATACAATCTTGAAAACCTTGGGTTCACAAAAAGATCAAATTCTATCCCGACAAGAATCTGAGTGCCTCCAACAATAAAAACCAACAGAACATTAAAAGTGACAACAGTATCCTTACATCATACCATAGGGGACTGCATATGAGTTGGACCAAGTCGAAGCCTCAACATGCAACCCAAACAAAACTTTAGAATCAAACTAAGTCACCACAACTTAAAAGTCAATACAATCTTAGGTTCAAGACTTTGCACCCAAGCTTACACAGGATCATATGTTTTCATGCCAGGCTAAAATGATATCCTCAACTTCATTGCTAAACCCATGTCTTTTTAACACCTCTTGATGGAATGCCATCAATTAAGTAATAGACTCTGTATGTCCCAAACGGAGTGTCACATTTTTCGAAAACACTTATTTTTAATGTTATCAATTGTTTTATACCCAATTATTCTTTTCCAACTAGTTAAATTTTTTTTGTTAATATTAAAATGTGTGTAACTGACATTTCTAGCAAGAATTAGCTTGGAAAGAAAGAATAAAACGTCATTTAATGAAAATGGCTACTCATTTCTAGGACAGACGAAAAATAAAAGAGGGACACCGAATATGAGGCAAAGTAGTAGCAAATTTCATGGAGTTGAACATAAAAATATCCAATGAAACTCTCGGAAACGTCAAAGTAGACTACAACAAGCAAATTAGACAGAAAACATTTTACAAAAAACACTGATTTTTTATACATATAAATCATATAATCATTTCTAGGCTGGGTGAATTTCGTATAGTTGAAAATAAAAATATCCAATGAAACTCTCGGAACATAAAAGTAACTATAACAAGCAGATTAGAGACAAAATGGTTTAGGAAAAACAATGATTTTTTTCTACAGGTATAATAAATAAATAAACAATAATAATCCAATAGATGCGGTGCCAAAGCCAAGCACTGAATGGAATTTAGATAAACCATGAACTAAAGTATACAACAACATAGGAATGTCTATCAGGAATTCTACAATCCAAAGAGATACAACATAGATTACTGAGATTCAAACCCAACTACACAGTTTCTACCTTGTCAACCAAGAATACATGTGCTTTTGAAATTATTACCTAAAAAATTCCTTGCAGTAAATGGAACACAAGATATCTAAAAAATCTTATAAGGTGTGTTCAAATGGTAAGAGTAATCACGTTTGGTACCATTAGGTTAAGTAATCTAATTCTGCAATATTTAGGGATTTGGCCCAAATGTTGTATAGTTTATACAGTTGTAAATGTAATTATTGATGGGAAAGATTAGTTAGATATTTCGAGTTATTAATGCCCTAAATCTTATTAAATTGGGTCAGGGAGATATGTAAATATGCATTATATTCACAGGAAAGCAAATAGAGCAGTTAATTTCCTAGTTTCTGTAAGAAAATAAAACAGCGAATTTCCTAGTTGATCTTAGTCATTATATGAGATCGCCATCATTACCTTACGAATTTCCCATAGTATAGAGAATATGATAGAGATTTAGGAAATCTTTTGGATGATGTTCACTTGAGGTGATGATAAATCATGTTCATTAGAATCGCCACACAATGAATGCAAAAGCTAATTCTATAATTGGTGTATGTCACAAAGCAACATCTACACAGGTTCGGGATCAAAGTTATCTCATGGAACAGTTTCACTTCTCTAAATAACAGTTAACTGACAAGTCATCTCCTATAAACAATGCACAAGGGCAAGGGCATCTTAGAAGAATCATAAGACCACTGAGCAATAGTGGCTGTTGGAATACAAAATCGGCCAGATTACCATCCAACTTATGTCCAACTCAGNTGACAAGTCATCTCCTATAAACAATGCACAAGGGCAAGGGCATCTTAGAAGAATCATAAGACCACTGAGCAACAGTGGCTGTTGGAATACAAAATCGGCCAGATTACCATCCAACTTATGTCCAACTCAGAAAATGAACGTCAGCATCTGCATCCCTGCTGTAATCAAGCCAATGATTCCATGATTAAANTATGTCCAACTCAGAAAATGAACGTCAGCATCTGCATCCCTGCTGTAATCAAGCCAATGATTCCATGATTAAAACATCCCATACAAAGAGAAAAAAAGAAGGCTCCAGTATTGTAACTAATAGGCTCATTACTGGCATCTTGCTTATGTGTGAACTGAATCTTTTTCTCAACACTAGAGCATTAATACAGTACCTTTGGTATTATTAACATATTCTCTCAAGATAGTAACAAACTTCATGTGTGCCAGCAATGAACTGACCAGAGTGCCCTGAGGAGTTACAAAATTTCTGGTACAACTCAATTTTGCAGGACTATAATTTTGTATGCCAACATTTAGGTCACAAAAAAGGAAGGATTTGATACCTTTGTTCCTGACATCATAGTGCGTCGATTACTGTCCTCCAAGAGAGACAAGAAAGGTACAAAAAGGTTGATTCCCCATGCTGGTCTGAAACACTATTGGCGCTCAACTAACAAGAACTCCAACTGGCACAACAACAATAAATCATGCCTATGCAAAACCAAATGAAGAAATCTCCGAGCGAAGATTATTATTTTGTGTTTTTACTCTACAGCATACCCGTATCTATATAGTGAGAATTTACAAAAACACACGTGGCATTTTCTTCTTGAATGATTGACTAGCAAACCTTTTCGGAATCCACCTATCATTGTTGTTAGAATCAATAAATGAGGGTGTCCACAATATTGGCACGGAAAACACCACCATAAAATAAATGATCCGACCAGGTCTGTTATTTGCCAATTCTAAAAAAGAAATAGTTAGCACTTGACACCCGTTGGTCATTACTTTACGTAAATTCTCCCAGTACTCCCTCATGACTTCACCTGGAAATATTAAAAGTAAATCCTCCTCTGAAACTGATCATCTGCCTTCTCCATTCAATTTTATGATCGGCAACACCACTCTACACACCTACATCGACCAATTCCCTACCTAGCAAAAAAATACAATTTCCACACGAATTTCCTTCATACCAAATCACCCAAGGGTTAAATTGGTTCAGAAAATGTCCTAACAGAGTGGATATTCTATACTCCAAGAAATTTAATACTGTAAGGTTTCCAAACAAAGCCCAGAAATAACAAAAAAGTTCACTTTCTTAGTACGTACATGAGAAACATAAGATTCAACTGACCTAACTTTATGTCTGAAACCTGAAAATAAGAGTAAATTAGCTCCAACGTAAAATTTAGAACACAAAAATCTGAACTTTAGGAAGATTATAAGGAAGCAAATTAATAAAGAATCAACTACAGAACAATGGTCGTCAGAATCATCAGGGGGAAAAATTACTAGAAACGCTACCCANATAAGGAAGCAAATTAATAAAGAATCAACTACAGAACAATGGTCGTCAGAATCATCAGGGGGAAAAATTACTAGAAACGCTACCCAATATCAGTATGAGAAAAGATAAAAATTTTCGAGTTCAAAACGAAACGCATTTTCAGCTAATGGATTTTTATGATTAACATAACGAACCCTAACTAAAACAGATCTGTCCACGACCAGGGAAGAAGAGGAGATGGAGACGTACCCCTGTCCATCGAGGTTACCCTGGGCACTGCTGCCACCACTGCCATACGACCCGTCCTCCGCCGTCTGCCACACGGACTGCCACGCCTGCGACGGCGGCGGCTGCATATAAACCCCAGGATCCAGCCCCGGCATCGCCGGCCTTCCGATCATGACACCCGGCGGCGCCGGCTGCCCCATCGGAGGATAATAGTACGGCACGCCACTAGCAGTGGACCCCACCATCCCTCCAATCCCAGCCTCGTCCTTGATCTCATCTCTCGGCACAATGTCCACAAGAAAATCAAATATATCAGTCCTCGTAATCGCCGCGGCGATGTCATTCTTTTGAAGCGTTCTTCGCTTGTTCTCCTCGGCGTGAAGCCATGACCTGATTGTGAGTTCGAGGATGAAGAGCTCGCAGGCTTTGGCAAAGAGGATTGGTGCCTCGGCGGAGATCATACGGACATCCTCGTCGGCTTTCATGATTTTTTTGATTCGGGCCAATGGGAGCTGGTGGTTCTTAAAGTCGTTGACTTGTTCGATCTCTTGACGTTGGTAGTTCCAGAACATTTGAAGTTGTTGTTGCTGTTGTTGAAGGAGGTGGTGGTAAGGTTGTTGTGGTGGGTATGTGGAGGACTGTGCCGCCGCCGCCGCCGCCGCTGTAGGTGGTTGTGCTTGGGGGTTGTTTTCCATGAAATCTAGGTTCGTGCTTTTCTGGGAAAATTGGAGGAGAAATGTGAGGGAGGGAGTGTTTCGTTTGAAGGAAGAAATGGAGGATTTTGAAAGGGTGTGGAGAGAGAGGATAAGGTACAGCAGTTGTACTGATACTTGTATGGCTCTGTCCTCAATTTTATCTATTTTTATGATGGAGATGGGTTTCATTTTTTTTTTTCCCCAATAATTTTTTTTCTCAGACAATTAAGTCTAACTTTACGAACTTGGGGCAGTCTCTCGAGTTCGATTTTTTAATTGAGTTTTAAAAATTATTTAAATTTGATTCGTTTAAAAAATGAGTTGGGTATGAATAACTTGATTATTTTACATATAAATTAATCAAATTTTGTAAATTCAATTTTTTTAAGTGATTTTAAAATTTTATTTAAACTTGACTCATTTAAAACACAAACTAAGTTCAAAATTAATAGAAGTTGATTAACTCGGTTCGATTTTCAGCCCTTTATTTGGCTATTTGGTATTATTTCTATTAGTATATGAAATTTTGATTTGACTCTGATTTTGATCAAAGTTATATATGAATACTTAACTACGATATAACATAATTATTACTAATAAAATTAAGTTAAATTTTAATTATACATGTAATAAATATTAAACCTTATTAAATTATTCAAATTGGATTGTTTTTTACATAGAATTTATTATTATTAATGGATTTAAATACAAAAAATATAAAATATAATTTATCAAATATTCAAATTAAATTTAAATCGAATTAAATTCAACTGACTTTTAACCTATTGACACACGTCTATTTGGTTTCTTTGTCTCGTAACGTTGCACAAGGTTTAAGTCATTTGCCACACAAAAAATGAAACTAACGTTTAAGATTCATTCATGTAGTATCGTACCAAATTCATCATAATTTGGATAAGTATAATATTATTTGGGCTTAAAAATTTGATTAAATTTATTGACATAATTATGTGATTTTAATAGAATTATTAGATCAACACCAAATTCTAATGTCTAATGAATTTCACAATCATTTCAAATATCATAGTGAAATAAGTCAATAAATTAAATCCGTATTATTAATACCACACTTTTTTCACTCCTTGAAATACCTTTAGGAAACCGACACAAAATCAATAAGAGTTATGAAATTTTCTCAGGAAAATAAATGAATCTGTTACCCCGTCAATTAAATTGGTAAACACGAATTCGATTAAGTACGACCCAAAACTAATTAAAACAAAGTTATACACGCAAAGCAATGACTGCACACGGTATGATTTCTTTTCTTTTCTTTCAAAACAAATCACTATTCTTTCCTTTCTCTTTAAAATTGTGTAGAAAAACTAATATATATATATATATATACTAGTTATTATCTATGTCTAAAAACACAGAGTAATACAAAATAGTAAACAATAAATATATTTATATTCATATTCAAAATCAAATTATAAATATAAAGGAGAGAAAAATAAATTTAAATATCGATTGTAATGGGGGTAAAAGATGATAGACGGTAGTGGTAGTGATAGGAGACGGTTATGGTTGTAGTAGGTGGTAATGATCGTGGTGGCACTGGTAGCGGCGACGACGATGACGATTATGGTGGTGGTGGTGGCGGCAACGATTATGGTCATGGCAGTGTTAGTGATGGTAGTGGCGGCAGTGGTGGTGGTAATGGCGGCGGCGATGACAGTGATGGTGGCAGTGGCGATGGTGGTAGAGGCAGTAGTAGAGAGGTTTCAAACACTATTTTTTTTAAAAGATTTATGAGAAATAATTCATACAAGTACTTTTTTAAAAGTCATTTTTAACACACCCTTAGAGTTTAAATTTTTTATTAAATTTAGAGTGTTAATATTAGTTGTTTGATTAACTTCAAAGTAAAATCTAAAGCAATTTGAACAACAAAAAGCAAAAATTATTTTGTTTATTTTTTAAAATTTGAATTGTAAGCTATTTTATTATATATACTAGTTATTATCTGTGCTTAAAGGCACAAAGTAATAAAAAATGGTAAAAAAATATATATATTTGTATTTATATTCAAAATCAAATTACAAATATAGAGAAAAGATAAAAAAATTTAAGCATCGATTTGTAGTGGGGTGAGAAGTGGTGGGTGACAGTAATGGTGGTAAGAGACGGTGATGGTTGGTAGCGACGAAGACGATGACAATGGTGGTGGTGGCGGCAGCGACGGTGGCGATGATTTTGGCGATGGTGGTGGTGGCGTGGCGGCGGTGGAGGCAATGGTAGGGTGGCGGCGGCGGCAGTGGCGATGGTGATAGCGCAGTTTCAAACATTATTTTTTTAAAAGTATTTATGAAATATAATTTCTAAGAGTATTTTTAAAAAGTCACTCTAAACACACTATTAGGCCCCATTTTTCCTATTAAATTTAGCGTATTAATATTAGCCTTTAAATTAATTTTAAAGTAAAATTTAAAGTGATATGAATCGTGAATAACAAAAATTATTTTATTTATCTTTTGAGATTTGAATTGTAAATTATTTTATTATATAGATGTATATACACATACTAAGTATTAAATAATTGAACATGTGATAAGATAAATGATGTGATAAAGTTGGGAGAGAAAATATGTAGGGTATAAACTTCAACTTTCGACATGATTTATTATATACTAATAATTTGTGCTTAAAGACGCGATAAAACATAAAATTCGAACGCCTAAAAAATTGAGTATATTATAATAAATAATAATATTTATTTCATTTATTTCTTTGATTATATCATTTAAAATTTATTTTTACCCATTATTTTCTTAAAAATATAGACAATTTTCTCAAAATGCGTAATTCAACAAATTTTTTTCAATATGTATACACTATTGGGTATGGATAATGTCTAAAATAAAAATTATATTAAATTAAAAATTAATTAGATATTAAATGATTGAACATGCAATAGAAATGAGTGATGTGATATTTTTGAGAGAAAAATTATGAAGGGGATATACTTTCAAACTCCTATGTGTTTTATTATATAGATTAGTCATAATTCCTTTGAAGGTACGATAAAATATAAAATTAGAGCGTCAAAAAAATTGATCTCACTATATTAATTTTTTCAACATGTGTATACTATCGTATATGAATAATATTTGAAATAAAAATTATATTAACTATAAATTAATCAAATATTAAGTGATTAAATATATGATAAAAATGAGTGATGTGATATTTTTAAGAAAAAATATATAAATAATTAAACATGTGAAAAAAATGAGTAATGCGATATTTAAAAAAAATATTATATATATATATATATATATAATAAAACATGAGTGTGTTTGAATTTTATTTCAGTCATATTTTTCCCTCTTAAAACCATCATCAATCACTTACCTCACTTATCATCCCTTTGTCAGATTCAAATATCAAATCGCATCACTTATTTCTATCATATGTTTAATTATTTATATATTTCTTTCCTAAAAATATCACATTACTCATTTCTATTATATGTTTAATTATTTAATATTTAATTAATTTGTAGTTAATATATTTTTAAAAAAATTAATATAATTGAATCGAATTTTTAGATGCTCAAATTTTATATTTTATCGTGCCTTCAAAACGAATTATGTAGTATATATATATATATAATAAGACGCCGCTTCATTTCCTTGACAATATTCTGCTAGTCTGTTCAAACGCGGCTTCATTTTCCTGAACAGCGAGTGAAGGGACCATCGACCAGAGAATATGGTCCTATGGACCATCTAAAACATTCTTAATAGAAACTTGTCCCACTTTCCTCGAAAAATATCTTTCAAGCACATCTCTAAAGCCAACATCGAATGTTTATCTGCTATACATTTATTATCACATCATCCAATTCTATTATACACTTAATTATTTCATATATTGTTCAGGTGTTGAAAAAATTTTTATCGAGTTATACATTTTGAGAAAATTTTAACGCTATTTTTTAAAAAATAATAAATAAAAATTACTTTTAAATGAGTTAATGAAATAAATGAAGAAATACATATTTATTATTTATAATATGATCAATTTTTTGAACGCTCGAATATTATGTTTCATCATGCATTTAGGCATGAGTTATGACTAGTTCTATAATATAAAATAAATATAGGAAACTTAAATAAGTTCATTCGACAAAAAAAAAAAAAGAAGTTCATTCGACGATTGCAAATAAATTTAATCAATGACCACTAATATCTCCCTCAAAATTATTCACATTGCATCGTGCCTATAGACACTAATTATCCCTAATTTATAATATAAAACAAAAATACAATTTAAAATCAAAACGAAATTAACAGGTTATGATTGATCATGTTTTGACACGAACTCACAAATGACAAGACCCATTAAAATAAATAATAAAATTGGTTAAGAAAGTGTCAAACACGAACAATACGAAATTAAAACAATTAACACGTTAAATTAGTATTATAAGAATAAAATGTTAATTTTTATTATATTTTATTAAGTAACGACATAATTATTGTACAAAAAAAAGATATTTTTACTCATTTTTATTATTATATTTATTAAGTTAATTTTAAGTTTATATGAAAAATATGAGCATAAATTCAATCAAGTGACAATTAACTTTTAGATTTAAATTTGAACATAAATTTTTTTATTCACAGTTATATAGATCAACACGAACACGATACAAAAAAAAATAGATTGACTCGACTCGATACGATTAATTAAACAAATTAGGTTAAAATTGACTAATATTTGATACGAACTCAAAATAACACGACACAAATATCGCTCTAAACACGCTCACAGACACAAACACGGGCGTGCAATGTATTCACGTAACAACAGAACCATCTGCAATTGCTTTGAACAATATGTAAATAGATAAGTTTCGAATTCATCCCTCAAGAGAACTTACAAAGTTTTCATGATTTGTTCAATTTAATCACAATAACATATATGTCGACACCAATAAACATATAACGCATGCATTCATCTTGCATAGGTACATGCATCGAACATATATGATTTTCTAGCAGCATAGATACATGCATCGAAAACATGCCGTTGCTTTGTATAGTAATCTGAATAGCAGCACAGTCTGCAACATGGTAAGAATATTACAACAAAGAACAATGGAGTTGACTATGGTACCGAATATTTTTTTTTTTACACTATTATATCTCTATTTATCATATTTGTAGGTCTTTTTTATTACTATTGTAGTACTCTAAAAAATGATAAAAATAGTTACCACAATAATAAGTCGGGCAATTCTAGATATGACTCGTGAATTCGACACAAACGCGACATAGATTTAACGGGTCCGAGTGTATTCTTAGCTGGTTTAAGTGGTTAATGAGTTATAAATTTTATAGATTATTTTACAACTAAAAAAATTATTATTTTTATGAATAATTTATCACTTTTGTGAATATTTTTATCACTGTTGTGATAACTATTTTTATTACTTTTCATTGGTACGAAAAAGAATACAGAAAATAAGTGATTTACTTTAGCCGAAGAACTAAGGCTACATTCACTGTAATGGAAGCTCTTGTTCCTGAATGCAGTGTATTGAAGTTCTATGCGACGCAGGGAAATTACAAGAATCGAACCGTTCCAGGCGAGGGTTCCATTTTCCTCTCTGGGGATCTCTCTCTCTCTTAGAGTTTTTTTCTCTGGCAAGACACTGTTCCTTATATAGTGGTTGTTTCTCCGGATATTCCTTATGACTTTTTCGGCCTTTTTGTCTACCCTGTGGGGACCTCTTGCTGTTACCCTGCAAAAGCCTTCCATCTGCCGTCGTTATTGTGCCCACGATCTCTGAGCCCTGAGTTCCACCATCCTCTTTGTCTGGGAGGATGCTGCACTAGCTAATTTTAGAGATGGTCCCTTGTCCCTTGCACACGTGGAACGACAGGGTTGTTAAAGGGAGAGCAGTCTGTCTCCTTCCTGAGTCCTAGCTGGGCCGATGTTCAATTGGATCTAGGTTAGACGACCCCTTGTAACGTGCGTCCCTTCATTCAACTGGGTCAACCTATAAGAGACCCCCAGGCTGAGGGAGGGGGGTTTTAGTCTTCAGTTCGTCGATGGCCTAAGCCCAAAATCTCGTACCCATCAGATATAAATTTTTTTATCACATTTATAAGTATTTTTACTACATTTATGAGTATTTTTATCATTGTTCTGGTATCTATTTTTACCATTTTTTAGGGTACTAAAACAGTGATAAAAATACTTATAAATATGATAAATTGAGATATAATACCGAAATTATATTTTTGGATACAATACTCAAAGTGCCAGTCTGTAACATGGTAAAGCAATTACAGGCATGATTCATGATGGAAACTAACAGCATAATGAATGCAACCAACAAAAAACTTCAAAGATTAATAGTAGGAAGAATTTTCAACGTTGACACGAAGAAAAAGTATCGAATTATAAGGACAATCATAAAGGCTGACAGCTCCGGCCTACACAAATCAGTCAATTGCTCTAAAAAGACAATTGCTGTATATAGTTCGTACAGGGGAGGAAAGAAAAATCGCCGCAAAACATAAGTTGAAATGTTAGTTCCCACAATCGTGGGCCATGTAAGTTCACTTTCAAACTGTCTTCAAATTTCAGGCAGTAATCAACTCGGCTAAGTCCGCTACACGAATCTTGTTTCGTTCCGTCATTGTATGGTCTCAAAACTATATAGCATAATAAATATGGAGGACTGCCCGTATCACTTATCTGTATGGATTACAAATGTTCAGGGCTCATTTGATCAGTGAGATAGAGAAAAAGGAAAAGAAGTTAGTCCTGCAGCCACTTCCGGTGCCAAAAAACTCATACTCTTGGCAATCGAACAGAGTACCGGAATTTTCTTCTGATTGGCCCATGGTCCAAAAACTAGAACTGATGATTACTCGAGAACAACAAACCCAGTTTCTTCCTTGCCATCACTGTCACTGCTTCTGGGTCGGCATTATTGTCATCTCCACTATCCCATTTGTCCTTGTTTGTACTGGCATTCTCTACCCTAAGCAACTCTTCCTTGGCTTTTCCGTCACTGTCCAACCTTCCCAATTTTTTAGCCTCTCCGACATCCTCTACTGTCTCCACCTCTTTAGCTTCTATTATGACCGGATGAAGTTCCAAAGGCATAGCTGCAGCCTGCAGGGTTGAGCTCCCAGCAACCCTTGAGAACATTTTGAGCTTCTTGACCAGTAAGCAAGCACGAAGGGACTTGAAGAGAGAATCAAAAAAATCTCCTCTCTTGGAATCAGCCAATTTTATTTTTGCATACAAATGCTGGTGAAAAGCGGATTTGAAGCCATCAACTTTAACTAAAGGAGCAATTATCGCAGCTTGCTCTCTGTTATAATCTTCAAGCACTTCTACCATATCATATTTATGTATCACTTCATCTGGGGTAAGCTCATTCCAATCAGGTGACCAATTCCCATACAAAGCCCAACATTCCTCCTTCCTCGAAAAGATTTGGATGCTCCCTTTGGCCCCTTTCGTCCATTTACCTCTGTCTGATAAAGTATTGCGTGTCATACTGACTTGCCTATCCTCAAATCCCCACTAGTCTTGGGAAAAACAGAACCAACCTAGTTGGGGGGCTGAGTTCAGAGTTGCTTTTGGAATTCAGCCAACTGATCTGCATCTTGAATGGCTTCCTAAAATCTCACCGTGAATCAGAGCACAAAAACAAGGCATCCCATCATCATTATCACAAGCGGCCCAAATCTGGTTTTCACCAAATGAATTTTCTGTTCTATCCTTGTCAAAATCATAAAAATCTGGATCTTGGACCGTCATCAACATGATGGCAGCAGCCTTTGCATCGGAATAAATGTTAGCAGTGGTTAGGCAATACCTTCTGGGAGGAACTGGATTCTTGGAATGCCCGTTCATAGTGTTCTTTTGTAAAACATTTATATTAGCTTTTGGATGCTGATTTTCCATCTCCGTGCCCTCTTTATGTGAATCCTTTGATGGGCATTCAAGCTCATTCATTCAGTTTCTTGCGAATTCCCATCCTAGCTTTTTCCATAAGCATGCTGTGAGCTTCTGCCAGTGGCAATTCTCTTCTAGGCTTATTACATCCAGCAACACCAACCCTCTCTGCCCCCAGACTACCTCTTCAATATCCAGATACAGTTCCCTGGCCACCTGCTCCATTCCCCATTACCGTAGGATTAACTGTCTCCTTTTCAGAATTATTCAAAGCATGTTCATCTATGCGTCTATTCTTCATCGGCCTCTCTCCTTTTTCAGAACCAGAACCAGAACCAGCATTATAAGCCAAAAAAGAACTTGTTTTCTCACAAGTATTTGTTTTCATCTGAAGGGTCTCCTCCCTTGCAGCTTCTTCATGCCCTCTCTTCAAATCCACACATGCTGGCTGAACAACATGTGGAGCTTGAGCAGCTGAAGCTGGATCACTTCTGACACCTCCTGATTGAGAGCATGGCCCCTGCTGAATATTCACACCATTGATTGAGCCAACGCCAGCAGACCACTGAGTTTTCATATTTGGAGCCAAAGTGGATTTCCTTCCTAGAGCAGATGAGTTGTTGGCAACATGCTGGTTTACGTTTGGCTGCTGGCAGCAAGAATGCCATGGACTGGATATATTATGAGCATTTACCAGTGGGGCAGGTAACTCAACAGTCAAAAATGGCTTACGACAATTAGGGCAGAGAAGCTTTTGGTTAAGGAAAATTTTTAAATATTCGTACTGCACCAAACATTGGTTGCATGAAGTCCAGAATGTTTTGGGTTTTGATGGACGAGGAGGAGCAGGGGTGGGCTGCGGATTGGTGGAACTCTTTTGATTCCTTGCACTTGACTTATTGTTTCCCATGGAAACACGGAAACCGTTTTTATCAGCTGGCACTGGTGGCTTCCCACAAGTAACTTTCTGATGTACAGCCCTTACATTTCGTTTCTTGTCATAGTCCAATCTCTTAGCTTTATCAGACAACAAACTCCATGCTTCAGAGAGAATTTTAAATGCCCCATCTGCCCCAACCGACTTGTTTTTATCAGGATGAAGGGCGAGAGCAAGTCTCCTGTATTGTTTCCTTATGGTTTCATCGTCAGCCAAGGGATACACTCCAAGGACCGCATACCAATCTACTTCTCCAATTACCCTTTTCTCAGCAGAAATGTACACATCAATAACGTCCAGGAATTGAGAAAGACCCTCAAGCCCAGGAAACAAGTTTTGCGATTTAGAAGCTAGTTTCTTGGCTCCTGCAATGTCCTTCTCCATCAACTTCTTCTCCGCAATTCCTTTAGCCCTGATGGCCTCATCCTTATTACACTCCATTTCTATAATGCTTCAAATTACAATAAATTGAATCACTTCCAGTTTCCTCCTCCCGTTCCTCCTTTGTAACTATGAGTCACAACAACATCAACAAGAACTCAACAACCTGTATCTAATTCTACAAAGCCAATGTTTCTCGAATGCATTAAAAAGGACATATCTTCAGCAGCGCAGGCCCTAGTACACCAAAATAATGAACCCAAGTAAGAAAAAGACTTCAGCAAAAGGAGGAAATTTTAACCAAAGTAAAAAGGAAATACTGACTCGAGATTCATGCTGTACAATCAACAAATTAATGATGACCATAACAAGTAACTGGGCCAAACAAATGAAAACAGCCTCCTCCTAAATTCCAAAAGTTCATGTACCATTGTAAAATTTCGTAATTAGGATCCTAAAATGCCACAAAGGCAAATAAAAACAAACCAACGAACATACCAATTTTTGAAAAGCCCCAACAAAATTGGCACAAAATCCATTATTTTGAGATCACCTAAATGCCTCATTAATACAATTCACTACAAGTGATCATAACAGAAACTAACTCAAAAATGGCAACAAAAATACCTTAATGAGTCCTCAGATACTTCTAATGAACCTCAGCAGGAAAAAACAAAAAAAAAACGATGCTTCAAATGGTAAGGGAAAAGCACGACACAGAGAGCTAAATACAAGATTGAAAAACAGAAAAATGCACAAGTATCGACTAAGAAGATTGAACCGGTCACCGGTGCAAAGTTGATCAAACCCATCAATCAAAATACCTATAGAAATTATTCACTTACAAAGTAACCAAATTCAGTACATTCTAGTTGATTCGACTAAACCCTAAAATGCACACGTAATAAGCAGACAATCCATCAACAGCACAAAAAAAATTATGCTCCATATAAAGCACAAATCAAATGTGGATCAAGATATAGATTTGCATAGACATACTCATAACTACCCAAATTCCGTGTGTATGTCCCTCTTTGACACCCAGATCACAAATTTCCAGCAGAAGCAAATCTCTTCAAAAAAATTTTTTATAAACCCTACAACGGAATTCACAAAGACCAAACCAACGATAATCAGTGGAAACCGACAATAATAGAAAGTTGAAACCCTAACCATGGTTAAACCTTAACTCTGGTCAACTTTTAACCAAGTGTCAAGGACAATAAAACAAAAAAAAAAAAAGAAAGGGAAAATTATAATAAGATACACGAAATTAAAGTTATTTGTGAAAAAGATTTTCACCCAAGTATATTATTAGATCTATTAATTCAGTCGTAAAATTAGAATGACCTAAAATTTATTTATTTATTTTTAAAATAAAAAATAATTAACAATAAAATTAAAATTACTAAAAAATCTAATCTAAACTCCTTAATCATAAAATTTAAACTTATCATCATAATTTTTAATCATTCTTTTTTTCTCTTACCATCAAGTTTAAATATGATAACCAAAGCATGAATATAAAAAATTTAATTAATATTTTTTGTATTTAAAAAAAATTAAAATTAAAATTTATTATTAATATTAAAAATAAAAAAATCTCATTATTATTTTTACTTTAAACCCCAAAATGTCTCACGCCGCCCCAGGGTTGGGTTCAGAAGGTTAAGGTGTCCTCGGGGATTTCCATTTGAAGATTTCTGTAGTTGTGTTCCCATGTATTGTCTAGTTGGAGGTTCCTTTAAAGGAAATAAGTAAACTTGAATGCTTAAAAGGAAAGCTTTTTTGTGCTCCTTGTTCTGCGTTGACCGGAACTTTTTGCTACTTGCTACTTCAATTGATGGTCTTTATTATTACACTTGTACTCCGGAACTATCACCTTTTTTCTACTTTACCCTCTCAACTACCAAATTTCTCATATTGTATCATATACTAACACTCTTGATTCAAATTCTCCAATAAGATATTCAATGGTTGTAATTGATCAATTCTACATTTTAAGTCTACATCTTATATACAAATATCATTTTAAAAAAAAATTAGAATGAATTTTATTCCGTTAGATAAAATTTGAGGAAAATTGAATTAAATATTGTATTTTTATAAATTTGTAATCCAAATTACTATTTATAGTATTAGATATATTAATAATAATTCGTATTTGAAGACACTCTGCAATACCAAAAATTAAATATTAATTATGCAGTCTTTAAGATCTCACCTGTTGTACGATCATTAAATTTTTCTTGGATTCATAGAANCTCGTGTTTGAAGACACTCTGCAATACCAAAAATTAAATATTAATTATGCAATCTTTAAGATCTCACCTGTTGTACGATCATTAAATTTTTCTTGGATTCATAGAACGATTTCATCGTTTCGAGAAGGGGTTCATTGGAAGAATTCTGTAGTAGCAAGTGGTTTGCTCCATTTATAAGCTATAAATCTTTTTACAATAAATAATTATTGGATGCTTTAAGATTGTTCAAACAAGTGGATATGTCCGAGTGGTTAAGGAGANAATAAATAATTATTGGACGCTTTAAGATTGTTCAAACAAGTGGATATGTCCGAGTGGTTAAGGAGACAGACTTGAAATCTGTTGGGCTTCGCCCGCGCAGGTTCGAACCCTGCTGTTGACGGTTGCTTATATCTCTTCGAAATCAATCAATGCAAGATAAAAGTCTAAGACAAAATGGAAGCAGTTTTTGCACAAAAACAATAATGTGGACATCACCTTTGTACGTCACCTCACTTGCACATTTGTTTTTTGCTGTTTAAAGAAAGGGGCGAGGACAAGAGAGACCACCCTGATAACCTTTTATTGATAGGATTATAAGATTTTTAATCGGTTTTTGCTGTTTAAAGAAAGGGGCGAGGACAATAGAGACCACCCTGATAACCTTTTACTAATAGGATTATAAGGCTTTTAATCGCATTCGTTGTTTCTCCCAAAAATAAACCTAATTATGCTAATATAACGGTCAACAACTAAGTCCTAATGTGAACTCTAAGAATAAGATTTTTAACCTCAAAGTTAAAAGTTCAATCGGTACCCCTTACACCATATGATGTGACACAATTAAAATCATAGAATATGTAATAAATTTTGTAAAACCTACTCATTCAACCGTCTATATTAAGGTAATACACAAAAGTAGTGCACAGAATTGGTGTATAGCATTGTTGTTTGCACAACCACTAGAAGGCCAGTTTTTTTTTTTTTGTTTCTTTTTCTTTTTGTCCCAAAAAATTGGTTCACTAGACTGACTTAAAAAGAATGACAAGAACAACTCAAAAGGTTGGTTTTTATTTTTGTATTGGAGGACCTTCGTAGCATTTTTTAAATTCATACATCAAAAATTCAGGAAGCTGCAAAATTTTCCATGACAAGGTATTCACATAGGGGGCCAATCACACCTGCAACTGGAGTAAATATTTAATGTAACGGTTACATTATATCAACAATACTAATGTAATATAATTATCCAATAAAAAAATTATAAATAGATAAAATATAATTCATTTCCTATCATGGAGGAGATGTATTACATGACTAGGTAGTTATGAATTTTTGTAAAACTCACTTATAGACTTGTTTACTTATTAGTGAACGCTTACACCACGTAGTACTGCTGACGTGTAACAATTATACCCAATATTTTTTCCACAAGTTGTGGAATAACAGGCACAAAAATTAGCTTCTTTTTTTTGGGGTGCGTCATTATCTACAATATATAGCACTCTTGTGGAAAAAACATTTATTACAACAATGATACCATGTGGTAATTCTGAGATAGTATAATCAACTAATAATATCAAAATAAATAAATAAATGGACCCACAAAAATTAATAATCAACCCTCCATGTAAACAAATAATTATCCACTTTTTCTCTATCTAAGCAAAAAACTACCTGTAGTGTTCGCCTTGCCCACTTATTGTTTTATTATTAGTTAGTGATACCACGTCAGCATTGCTAACAAGGTATCACTGCTGCATGCAATATTTACTCCATAACTGTGCTTCCTACCAAATCGAATTTTGCCTGCCTTTCTACTTTCAGAAAAACTCATTTCTGCTGCTCCCTGGAATTCATACATAAATTGGGAATTTCTTTAAAAACATTCAATTACCAGCTCGCCTCAAGAATGCTATTACTCCTAACCCGACAACCAGCGCAGCCCCAGCTGCGACAGCACTGTATGCAGAAGCCCATGCATCCGCCTGAGCATAGTCCAAACCTTTCGATCCAGAACCCCATCTACGACCAGTTGCTCCTGAATAATCTAAGTGCAACCTTAACCCCTGTCCATGCCAATCATTAGGATGTAAAACTTTGATTAACGCAAAAAGCGCAAAAAAAAAAAAAAAAGAAAACTAAATTATATTTTACCTCCCTGAATTATTATCTTTGTTTAACTTTGTAATCTCAATTATAAAATTTCTCATATTGCACCCTAAAATATCAATTTTATTTCATATCACTCCAATAGATAACAACAAACTTGAAAATCTATCAAAAGAGGGAGTGAAACTCTAAAGAACTTTCCGCCAAGTGCCTAGAACTGCTTTATTTTATCTCTTTTGCAAATAAATAGTTGCTAAGAAGAAAAAGAAGGTAGGCCAAAAAAAAAAATTTAGAGTTTAAGAAAGACAAAGTCATAAATGAGTATTTTTTTTAAATTTTTGACATGCACATGTGTAATAGAAAGTTGCTTATTGATAATATAAACGACTCATATGTGCATTTACCGTAAAAAAAATTGACAATCGTTATCTGTTGGAGTGACATGAAACAAAATTGATCATTTAGGATACAATGTGAGAATTTTATAGTTGATGATATAAAGTGAAATAAAGGTAATAGTTCAAGGGATAAAGTATAATTTACCCAAAAAACTCACTGTCAAACGAGTATAACCTAAATTGTTGTTGCAATTTATGGTCAAAGATGTTAGTCTGGCTGCATCTTTCGATCAAAAGTTTATAGGGAACTGGAGAAAGACAAATCATACCTTCCAACCGGCTAACCTTGCATGGTCCATAGCTGCTGCAAGATCACTATCTAAAGCAAGTAAAACCTTGTCATGGTCTTCATCTTCATACTACAGAAGACGGTCACTCCTTAAGCATAGTCAGAGCCAGTAAGGAAACAAAATAAAATCATCCAAACGTAATTAGGTATGATGTCATAATATACCAGAATCTGAGGTAGGTTGTTACGGTCAATATCATTCCCCACTCTTTGAAGTATTGCGGTTAAAAGGTCTGCCAAACTTCTGGTCTCTGAAATATAAATAAGCAATTAAGTCTAGTATATAAAAAGTAAGCATGCTTGTGGATTGAAACTCTATTTATTATGGCAAACATGACGGAAAAGAAAAAGGAGCGGGAAAGGAAAAAAAGGGAATAAAAAATCCATTTACAGTATGTTCTAATTTATTTTTCTCATTATTCCCCACTGTTCTTATAAGAAAATTTGGTTTCTTTCAAGTTTAAATGTGCGTTCTTTTTCTCCCTATCTCCTTTCTATTTCCTCAGTTTTCCAAGACAACAAAACAGGGGAAACTAAAGTTCCCCCATTTCAAGTGAAGTCTACATTATACATGTACTGAGCATTTCCTTGGCCAAACACCAGCTAGATATGATACACATTTAACAATTTCCATTTCATAACAACAGAAAAGCTGCAGTGCAGTGCCATCAAAATTACTTTATAAAGCAACTTGGAATGCGCTTGTGTCCAGTACAAAAGATCATCCAGAATTCAGTCTCTGTGCTGTGTGATCTAGATATATCTCAGATGGAGGAATAACGTTCGCAGCTATAGTCTGTCTGTATGTCTGCCACATCCAATATGGACTACCTCAAATTTACAGTCTGGAGTGTGCCTAATGCTATAAATAGAATAAGAAGCATACCACAATTGAACCTATGCATTCGGCCCTTCTTATCTTGAATTTTGAATGCGAAGGTATTAGGCAGGGTCAGTGATGGATGGGGAAGAGATCTCCCTGTCTCTGCCCCTTCAGAAGCCAATTTCAAGGAATTCTCGCTGGAAGAGTCACCAATACCAAGTAAGAATCAATCATATAGATTCAAAAATATATCCAATGTTAACAGCAAAGACTAAAACCTGTGTGTATTTTCCTCGTCATCAGGAGTTAATGTCATGGCAGAATCCCAAAACTTCTGCATCATGGTGTTTGTAGTCTCATTATTAACTCCAGCAGTACTCCCCACCTAGTTCATAGGAGGAACAATGAAACCATATTATTTCACAATTTATTTAATATTACAGTTAGGAAGTTGAATTCTCAACTTATAAAAAGACAAAAAGGGTGAAAATTGATTCAGTTTTCATCTACTTTGATCCAATGGTTCAATCATCCCAAAAGAAATTTCTCTGCGCAGAAGCGTCATCTTCTCTACACAGTCCCACTGAAGCATCATCTTCTCTATACAGTTCCACTGTCAGACAACTCAACCAACACCCTCTCTAATGCCAAATAACTTCATTAACCTACAACTATACCCCCTCCTCTCTCTCTCTTATTTTCTCTCTTCCACTTTAATTTTAAATCACATAATTAAAAAAAACAAAAGAAACAATAAATTGCTATTTAAAATATAAATATTGCCCAATCAATGTTTTATTTGTTGGTATTACAAAGTGTCTTTAGACACAAGATTATTACTAGCATATTAATAAATAACTTCAAGGAAGAAGAAGAAAATGAAGGCTCTTCAGATATAGAATTAAAGATGAGTACAGTTTTACCTTCAACAAGTAACATGCAGAAGATGCAAATAGAAAATCAAAAAAAAGATACATAACAGATAATGTATCATGCTGAGCCCTTGTTGCTCCGAGCTAGACAGAAACTTGACTTACTGTAGCTACAGCAGCATGAATAATATGAAGTACATCAATGATAGCAATTATAACTCCATCTGCATTAAATTGTCCGCACTCATCAGAAACTTCGCGTACTCATATAAAACTTGTTGCACAAACTTTCAGTCTACTTGTGTCAATATTTACCTCTATCAACAACAGGAAGGTGCAAAAATTTCCCATCATGCATGTAATGCAGAGCATCAAGAATGGGTGTATCAACTGTTGCGCATTCTGGATTTTGGGTCATCACCTAGATTACATTGAAAGAATAATGCCCAATGTGAAAATTATACTTGCATTCCATGAAAAGAAAAGCAGAAAATTGATACACTGTAGCATGGCAGATAATTTTGTCCCTTGCAAACTAACTGATATATAGAAGAAAAGAATGAATAAAGATTCCACTGGCCATTACAATGACAATATTACCTTTTCAACTAGAGTGGAATCAGGGGCAAGCTCTTGTGCTATTACTCGCATTAAAATATCCTTTGAACTGACAAAAATTTAGAAGGCGCAGTTATTCCAAGTAACTATAACATCACGTTAGTACAGTACCAAATCACAATTGCTAAACTATGCACAATGCTTCTAGTGGACATAGAAAAATACTAGTACTGTGAGAAACTCACGTCAGAATACCCCTAGGTTTGTTCTCAACTGTTACAATTGCAGAGCTTAATCGATATTCAAGCATCTTCTTTGCTGCCATTAGTACGGTGTCGGTGGGTGCAACTGTAACAATCCTGGAATGCCACAGTCAATGGAGCAAAGTAACTAATTATATGACAATGTCAGGGTAGTCGTCTACAAATAGCCATAAATAATAACACACAGAAACAATAATTAAAAGTGAGATATTACCTACTTTGAATTTTCAGAAATGATTGTAGACAAAGAGGGCCTAAACATTCGGTCTCGAAGTGCTTCGATGAATGTATTAGGACCTGCATTGTCAGCCAATAGAAGTGAAACTGGTGTCTCTAGAGGAGATTCCAAAAGAAATCAGAAGGAATTCAACAGAAAAAACTGAAAGGATATTACAATAATAGCAAAAAGGAAAAAACAAGCACAAAGGTAGATCTGCTAAAGCATATTATTGAGGTAACATTATTTACAAACCAGAGATAGATGTCCCCCAGTGTTTCTCAACACCTTCAACAGCAGCTGCAATGGCTTTTCCCTTTTCGGCTGCCCTTTCCAAACGAGCAATGGCATCATTTAAACATTTTGCTATATCAAGTAAAGCAATGACCTCTCCATTTTCCACAACAGGCAGATGTCTGAATTTTCCTGTGGACAAAAATATCAAGAAAAGGGGCAAAACTCAAAACAGTGCTTTTGAAAAATAAAACGATGTGATTTTCAGCTAACACCAACCTTGGACCATCTTTTGCAAGGCCTCCACAGCAAGAGTGTCAGAAAGTACAAAAACTGGGTTCCTTGTCATAACCTTTGAAACAGGTGTGTCCTCAAGATTAACCTCACGGGCAATAACTCTTGTTGCTACGTCCTTTCACAAGAAAATAAAGACTCAATTAGAAAGTGCTTATTCAAAAGTACGGAATTCGTATAAGTGAAGATTGAAGAACCTTTCTTTAGTGTATCACATAAATGGCTCATTTCAAACCTTATCCGTTAGGATTCCACAGAGTAATGCATTTGAATCAGTCAGCAATAACGCATCAACTCTACGAGTAGCCATCCAATGACAAGCTTCATGAATACTAGTAGTTTCAGGTACTGTCAGGGCCTTTGAAAGCCGTAACCATTTTACTGTACGCTCTCCAGTTAGTCCCCTGTTCCAAATACAAGTGAAAATGGAATATATCATTACTCTCACGTAACAAATATTTAGTCATAGTATAGATTTTATTCTTCGTAGTTATCTTGGTCTTGGTGATGTAGCAAGGTGTTTTTGCATTTTGCCCTCCAAGACTAATACTTCACCAGATCAATTATGTATATTCCCCAACATGAGAAGTTGTACAATCTGTTCTTGAGGTCCAGAATGCAAGAGAGACCTGAGTAATGAAGGTATATGGCTTGTTGGTGAAGTAAATGTTACTAAGAAAATCATGGAAAAAAGCACATTATTAATATAATTGAAGAATTTTTACTATCTAGAACAAATATTCTCAGAGTAAGACAAAATACAAATAGTTTAACCAAGAGAAGTTGGGATAACAGTTAAGGCCATGGAGGCATATAGAATTCCATGCCGGAGATAATTTGTTGAAATAATATTCAATCAACCTATTCAAAATCCTAAGAGTACTAATCACTTTCAGTGTAGCTAACACACCAATCACTACCAGGATAGCCAACAATGACTGGAAAAGCATTGACGGTGTGCTAAGATAATCAATGTCCTTGATCCCTACCTTAAAAATTCCCAAATGAAATACAGAAATCAAGTTTGATCTCCAAGTGGTATTCTATCTATGGAAAAAGCACCATTCACTTGACGGCAAAGGTTTTGAATATAAGCAGAACATATCTATCTTAATTGATTATGAATTAGGGGAAAACAACTCTGTTAAGAATAGTAGGGTAATATGTGTAAATTGTTAATAGAAAGAGGGTGTATGTGTTATTCTTATTATTGTAGGTTAACTATAAATACAAGTGATGTATGAGAGTTAGGTTAAGTTTTTAACCTCTCTCTTTCTCTCTAATATTGTGTTATGTTAATTATCTCAACTTAACATGGTATCAGAGCTCTTACGATCTTAAATATATTACCATTGTTGTGGTGGTATGACTATGTTATTGTGGTGGCGTGTGGCTGTGTTACTGTGTTATTGTGGTGGTGTGGCTGTGTTAGTGTGGTGTTTCCTGTTCATCGTTAACTGTTGGGATGGTGGCGTGATCGCTCGTGGTGGTGGTGCGATCTCTGTTCATTGTCGACTGTTGGTGTGGTTGGGTGATCGTTTGTGGTGATGGTGTGGTCCCTATTCGTTGTTGAGTAGGGTTGTTCGTGGTGGAGGTGTGATTTTGGTGTGTGCAGTCGAAGATCAGTGTGTCTTCAAAGACCAGGGTTTCACTGGGAACCCTAATCTCAACGAAGAAGAAGACTCCAATGGGTTGGGTCAGATCGGGTCAAGCCTATCGGGGTTGGGTCAGATCGGGTTAAGCCCATTGACTTAAATTATTTTAAGTCCCATTCCAAGTTCAATGATCCAGCAAGTAAAATCGGTCCAGTTCAGCAGTCCAGAGGGCTCAGCTAGGGCAGTTTAGTGGTCCAGCCTCCCTTTTCAATCCTATTCAGGACTCCATCAGCCTTAACAGGCCCAATTCAGTGGTCCAGGCCAGTTTTCCAGACCAGTTTAGTTTTCCAGCAGCCTTAACAGGCCCAGTTCGGCGGTCTAACATCCTCTTTTCTTCTGGTTCGGCATTGCAGCACTTCTTGTTTGCTATTTGCTGCACTGTTATAGAACCCAAGCACGACACTGGATTGGTTACTATTACTCGAGAGGAATATACCTAGTTCTTATCCCAGCAACAGGTTGTTCTATCTCCCTCCACTATTACTTTTGCCCAGTCAGGTATTGTTTTCACTTGTTTATTATCCTCCAATCGTAATCTTTAGATCATAGACTCTGGCGCTTCTGATTACATGACTGGTGCATCTAATATTTTTTCTACTTATCAATCTGCTCCTTCCATACGTAGTGTTACTCTTGCTAATGACACTTGTTCTAAAGTTTTAGGTTTGGGAACTACTAACTTGAGTCTTGTTATGTCCCTATCTTCCGTATTATTTGTTCATCAGTTTTCTTTTAGTTTACTTTTCATTAGCAAGATTACTCTTTCTCTCAATTGTTCTATAACCTTTTATCTTTCTTATTGCGTCTTTCAGGATCTTAAGACGAAGAGGAAGATTGGTACGGGGCATGAAGCTGGTGGCCTATATTACTTTGATTTTGATTCACCTACTCGGGCTCTATAGACCTCGTTGTCTCCTCTGCAGTGGCATTGTCGTCTTAGACATCCCTCTCTCCAGAATCTGAAACGCCAAGTTGTCAGTCTTAGTTCTGTGCCATCTTTGTTTTGTGAAACTTGTTAACTCAGTAAGCATCACCGTGTGTCATTTCAGTCTCGAGTCAATAATCATGTGTCTAGTCCATTTGAGTTGGTACATTCTGATGTATGGAGTCAAATAAAAAATATTTCTTCTAATAAATATCCTTATTTTGTGTCATTTGTGGATGATTATTCTCGTGTGACTTAGTTGTTTCTGATGAAAGCTCGGTTTGAATTATTCTCTATATTTGAGACCTTTCGTTAGAAAATAAAAACTCAGTATGGTTGTTGTATCCGTATTTTAAGTTCTGATAATGCTCGGAAATATGAATCTGATTCTTTTTCAGCTTATCTTAATAAAGTTAGCATTATTCATCAGACTTCTTGTGCTTACACATCTCCACAGAACGATGTTGCTGAACATAAGAACTGTCATTTGTTGGAAGTCACTCGTGCTTAGGGGTGTCAATCGTGTCGGGTTAAATGGTTACGTTTCGGGTTAAACGGGTGACGGGTGAGAAACATATAAACCCATACACGATACGTTTAATAAACGGGTAAAAATTTCAACACAAACACAACTCGTTTAATAAACAGGTAACATGACACGACTCGTTTAACCCGTTTAATTTTAAAAAAATTATTTCAACAAATTTTAATACTCCATTTTTTTTTACTACTAATTGCACTTACCTCAAAAAAGAGGAATTTTAAATGAAATCTCATAAAAATAAGACTTGAAGGTTTTAAAAAAAAAAAAGCAATAGGCTATTGCCTTTTATAGGCAACTCACCCTCTCTATTTTCCCTCATTTTCCAATATAGGACAAAAACAAAAGGCATTAGTTTGCCTTTGTCTTTGAAATGCTCTATAACTCCTCTCATTTGTCTTTGAAAAATAAGACTTGAAGGCTTTAAAAATAAAAGCAAGAGGTCATTGTCTTTTATAGGCAACTCAACCTTCCCCATCTCCCCTTATTTTTCAATGTGGGACAAAAACAAATAACATTTGTTTGCCGTTGCCTTTGAAGTACTCTCTAACTCTTCTCCTTTGTCTTTGAACTACTATTTTACTTTCTTTTTTTTTATTGATTTCTTTACTTCTTTTTTCTTGTTAATTTTTTAAAATAATTATTAATTTATTATTATATTAATTTTATTTAAACGGATAAACGTGTGATAAACGGTTTGACAGGTCTCACCAGAACACAACCCGTTTATTAAACGTGTTTGGCGTGTCAACCCGTTTATCACCCAAACCCGTTAAGATCTCACTCAAACCCATTTAATTCGTGTCGGTTAATCGTGTCGTATCGAATTTTGACAGCCCTACCTGTGTCCTATTATTCCAGATGAATATTTCTCAATATTTTTGAAGTGATGTTGTTCTTACTGCTTGTCATCTTATTAATCGTATGTCATCCTCTGTATTAAATGGATAAAGTACATATTCTGTCCTTTTTACTGGTAAGCCCTTATTTTTCCTGACTCCTAAGGGTTTTGGATGTGTTTGTTATGTTCATAATTTGGGTCCTGGAATTGACAAACTTGACCCTCGAGTTACCAACTGTGTATTTCTTGATTACTCCCGCACACAGAAGAGGTATCGTTGCTACAGTCCTTCTCTGCACCGATACTTTACCAGTGTCGATGTCACGTTTGAAGAATTTGTCCCATATTTTCCAGCACCTTCTCAGCCTTTGGATCTAGACTTTGGGTCATCTCCTGTACCACCATCTTTTTCCTTATCCTCAGATATTCTGCTGTCCACTATGTTACCATCTACTTTACCTCTTCGTGTCTATTTTCACCGTCCTCGCCCATCGACTGAGGTATCCGTACCGTCTTCTTTGCCGCCTTCTGATCCTGGTACATCAGATAATTTAGACTCTTTATCTATTGCTCTTCGCAAAGGTACTTGTTTGTGTGTTACTAATCATCTCATTTCTCATTTTGTTTCATTTGATGCCTTGTCTCCTGTCTTCTCTTGTTTACTTCCTAATTATCTGCTATATCTATTCCTAAGTATGTACAGGATGCATTATCTGATCCGGGTTGGAGAAAAGTTATGCAGGAGGAGATGGATGCCTTACATCATAATGGGACTTGGGATCTCGTTCCTTTACCTCCTGGTAAACGAACTGTTGGCTGTCGTTGGGTGTATACTGTTAAATTTCATCCAGATGGTTCTGTGGAGCGTCTCAAACCCCGGCTTGTTGCAAAGGGCTTTACTCAGACTTATGGTGTTGATTATGAGGAGACTTTTTCTCCTGTTGTCAAAATTTCCTCTGTTCGAATCTTAATTTCTTTGGCTGTTAATCTTGATTGGCCCTTCTTTCAGTTAGACGTCAATAATGCCTTCTTACATGGTGACTTGGTTGAAGAGGTATATATGGAACAACCACTTGGGTTTATTGCTCAAGGGGAGAATGGTAAGAGTGTATGTCAGTTAAAGAAATTTTTGTATGGTTTGAAGCAGTCACCGAGGGCATGGTTTGGTAAGTTTTCAGATGCAGTTTTAGAGCTTAGTTTTCTTCAATGTCAGACAGATCATTTTGTGTTTCATAGAAAGACATATGTTGGATATGTCCTATTGGTGGTCTATGTAGATGATATTGTAATTACTGAAAATGATTCTGAGCGGATTGCCAAGTTAAAAATATTTTTACAAGATCGATTTCATACTAAAGATTTGAAAAAATTCAGGTATTTCTTAGGTATTGAAGTAACTCGATTTAAACAAGGTATTTGTTTATCTCAGAGAAAATATGTACTTGACATGCTTGAGGAAGCAGGTTTGCTCGGTGGC